GAGGGCGTCATGGAATCTTCCCAGAGGAGGAGGGCAGATTTAGGAGGGTAGAAGTAGAAAGGCTGACTGGTGAGGAAGTGTGTCTTGAGAAAGTTCAAGGCCTTTTCATAGGAGAGTAGTTATTGTGGTAAAATACACATAACATTTACCATTATAACCTTTTTTTAAGTGTGCAATTTCATGGCATTAAGTATATTCACACTAGGGGCCCAGTGCACGAATTCATGCGCCTTGAAAGGAACTGTGGGCCAGGAGGCTGTGGTGGGCACAGGGGCGGGTCTAGGCCCATCCTCTGTGCTCCTGCCTGACCCCTCTCGCTGCAGCCCCCGCTCCCATCTGCCGGCAGCCCTGCTCCTTGTGCCGCTTCCAACGCACTGACAGCGCCAGCCCTGCTTGCACCCGCTGACGGCGCCGAGTGATTAGGACTGGTGCTGGGTACTGGCAGCGGGTATGAGCAGCAGCTCCGGTGCTGGCAGCAGGTGCAAGAGGGGCCGGCGCCAACCGCGGGTGCGAGTGCCGGGCGGGACCGCGGCATGTGAGAGCAAAGAATTTTCAGTAACCACCAGAGGCTCACCCTGATGACAGCGACCAGCACCCCGCCTTGGTCTGGCACCCCCCTCTCATCTGCTCCACCACCCTGCCATGGCTGACACCTGCCATGTTCCACGTTCTGCCGCTTGCTGCCGACGCCCGCCATGTTCCGCGTGCGCCCCCTGGTGGTCAGCACACGTTATAGCGACCAGTTGTTTGGTTCTACCGTTCAGTCTATTTGCATATTAGGGTTTTATATATATAGATTGTTGTGTAACCTTCACCAGTACCATTTCTAGAACTTTTCATCATGTCCAATAGGAACGCTTTGTCTGTTAAACACTAATTCCACATTCCCTGCTCCCCCAGCCCCTGGTAACCACCAATCTACTTTCTGTCTCTATGAGGTTGACTATTCTAAATACCTCATGTACGTGGAATCCTACAATACCCTATAGTATTTATCCTTTTGTGACTGGTTTAGTTCACTTAGCACATACTTTCAAGGTTCATCATGTTATAGCATGTATTAGAATTTCATTCTTTTTTATCTTTATTGTTGAAAATATTACAGATGTCCCATTCCCTCCCTTCCCCCTCTCTTGACCCACTTCACCCTGCTCCTGCCCCCTCCTCAGGCCTTCCCCACACTATTGTTTGTTCATGGGCTGTGCATATATGTATATAAGTTCTTTGGTTAATCTCCTTTTTGAGGCTAATATTCCATTGTGTGTATAATCCCCATTTTGTTTATCCACTCATCTGTTGGTGAGGTTTGGGTTGTTTCCACCACTTGGGTACTGTGAAGAATGCTGCCACGAACATGTGTGTGCAAGTATCTGTTCGAGTCTCTGTGTTCATTTCTTTTGGGTACATACCCAGAAGTGGAATTGCTGGATCTTATGATAATTCTGTGTTTAACTTTTTGAGGAACCGCCAGATGTTTTCCACAGAAGCCGCACCATTTTATATTCCCGCCAGCATTGCAAGAGGGTTCCACTTTCTCCTGGGGGAGGAGTAGTTGTCTGTGCTCAGTATAAACCAGCTTGACTGGGGCCCAGATTTTACATGAGGCTGGGTTAAGGAAGATCTTAAAAGTTGGCCATGGGATTGGTCCTTTATTCTGTGGGCTTTGGGATGCTGGTGAGGGCTCCTGAGCTCAGGGGAAAGCAGGATGATAGTGGTACTCCAGGAGGCTAAGGATCAAAGGATACGTGCAGGATGTGTTGGGCCCACGAAGTGGAACATGGTCCTCAGAAGATGGCAGTGATCCAGCTGGGAGACCTAGGCTCCATGTAGGAAGGCGGGAAAGGCAGGGATGAAAGTGGAGACACTTTTGGGCTCAGCGGTGCAGCATTGGCCACAACCTGTGCACCCTCATGTGGAGAGAGGACAAGGATATAAGGGTAAGCAGTGGTACCTCCTTGACCTCATGATTTCTGAGGTCCTACCTTGAAGATAGGATGTTTAGAGGGGACCTGCATCTAGTTCGCTCCCTGTTTACTGAAGGCATAGACATTTGCAGCAGACCATGGAGCTGTACCTTGGATACGAGGAAGTATCCTCACCTAGTTGGCCCCCCTGAGTAGGGTAGGACCAGCGATGCTTGTAGAGGGAACAGAAACACCAAACTCCAAGTAAGATGGAGGGAAAGAAGGGAAAAGAAGGTGCCAGTTAGTGTGTCTAAACCAAAATGTGAGCTAGTTCCAAAGTTCTCATTTTGATCTCCCGTTTGCATAGTGTATAAAAATGATACAATCCCACAGAATATTACAGGGAAGGTGTTTGTGTGGCCAGTTTGCTTTGCATTTGCCATTGTGCATGCCAGCTTCTCCGTGGGAAAGCATTCCTGCTTCAGAATGCTTCTGCCCCTTTCTCTCGGTCCCTTTGTGCTTCCACCACTGACGATTTCTAGAAGGTGCAAGGGTCCAGTTAGGGGCTGTCCTTTGTATTACAGGAAGACTGAGTGCTATTTGTGTCCAGGTGTGGGATCGTGAGCCCGTGGGTGGAGTGAGCAGATGGCTGGATGTGGGTTTTAGTGGAGATAGGTTGCAAGAGAGTTTTAAATAACTTATTTAAAATAGATAAAATAAAGGGATCTACAATCAGATTTCTACACCATGATTAACTTAATTAGGCAGAGTGTGGGGAAATATGCTAAAAAGTTGATGTAATAACTGTTTCAGGGCATAGGATGTGGAAGACAATGAGACAGCAGCTGAAATGTGGCTGCAAGATTAGGCTGGGCGTGCTGGCCTGCCTGATAGCGGAGTGCCCCGCCCGGAAACCAGAACAAAGGCCGCCCGCCACACAGTTATCGGCGGGCACACAGGCTCGCCAGAGGCAGCCCTCCCGACAGGGTTATAAGAATCACCATTAATAAGAACTATTACAATTCCCTGGGTTCTTTATAAATAGATGTCCTCTTTTGACACGGGTTTGTGTATATTTCTACCTGTTTTCAGATCTGGGGACTTAGATTTTTTTAAATGAATGATTCTTATCCTGGTGCTGAGAAAGAAAATGACTCCGTTAAAAAAAAAATCGCAGGCTAGTGTACACTTTTATCTGCACGTTAAACTGTCAGCAGCCTTCCCCCGCTTATTGCTGTGTGGAGAGGGTACACTTGCTGACACGAGTAACAGACGTTTGATGAGACGCAGCCGCCGACCCCGCAGGCCTGTTCCGGTTGTGCAGATGCTGTTACCAAACTCGAATCCTCTCTGACTCAGCCAACCTGGTTTGGACCCTGGGAGCCACTGGTTTGCCCAGCTGTGTAGACACCTTAGCGGTGGGGGACGAGCCTGTTTCCTCAATGAGCACTAGTTGCCCCAGAGACTCCACAGGCTTGGAAGGGGACCACTCCCATGTTCACCGAGGCCCTTGGAGCTTCCTAAGAAACGAACTTCCTGCTTTCCTCCGTGAGGGGCCCCTGCAGGGACTCTGAAATCTGTTCTAGCAGGAGCGCAGCAGAACTTCTCTCAGGCCCCTGACTGGAGGGCTGCTGAGCAGCCTGCCTGGCACCCGGGGGAAGCCAGGAGGGCTTCAGAGAGGACTCCCTCCTTGTGGCTGCGCCAGGCCCTCGGTCACCACGCTCACTGCCGGCGATTGCACGTTTTGCATCTCCAAACAGGCCGTGGGGAGCTGTGAGAAAGGACACTGAAAATGTGCAATGCCAAAGCCCTCTCTGTCGCACCTGAAGGAGATCCAAGCTCTGGACAGGATCAAAGAGGCTATAAACCCGGGGTGTAGGATGAAAGCTCCTATGAGGCAGAGAACAGAGAGCAGAACTTGGCCGTGTTTCTAAAGACCTGTAGTTCCCACCAAAGGAAAGAGGAGGGAGGGAGCAAAGAGGAGTGGTTTGGGAGAGGCCTTGAAAACTGGAGCTGACCCTAGGGCTGAACTTTTCCCTGGAAGCTTGCTTTTGTAGCTGCTCAAAGACTGGGAGGTGCTTTCTAGCTAATGTGGGGATTAAGAGGAAGGAAGGGACATGGAAAAAAAAACCATGGCAAATCACAGATAAGAAATGAGGAAGCTTATCTGGTGATTTGTTGAATTTGACTTTTTTTTTTTTTAAACTATAGGAAAAACGCCATAATACCGGCGATATTGGGAAGGCCGTGGAGCGTAGGCGCCCCGGGAGCCTGTGTGCACTAGATAGGAGAGTTCTGGTGGGCCAGGCCTGAGGGAGGCTCACCCTGAAAGTTGAGCTGAGATGGATGCTGGGTCACATCTTCAACCAGACAAGTGAGACTGTGGAGTTCCAGGAACAGTGACATGGGGTGGAGCACAGTTTTGGGGTGGGGGGGGGTCCATAAGTAGACTTGCTCTGGAGCACTGACCTATGATGCTTCTCAGGGGTAGGAAGGACGATGTGAAATGAAGATGTGTGCCTGCCATGGTGCTGGGTATTTTGTTTTCTGCTTTAACGCTTCCAGAAGCGTCCAGAGGGCCAGGTGACCCATAGCAGCGCCCCAAGCCCCTCCCAGTTACCTTGAAGAGATCACTCTGGTCAGTTCATCTGAAATGGCTATGATTTTTAAGAGATAATATTAACAGTATTTAAATTAAATATAATAATTATATTTACCAAATCATATTGCAGAAAACGAACATAGTAGTAGCAGAAAAGAAAAAGCACATAATCCCACTCTGCATCATAGCCAGTTTTATTTAGACATATTGCTTTATAGTCCTTTCTTTAATGCGTCTAAAATATAGTTTCATTTCCAACATTACAAACTCCCCCCCCCCCCGTGTTTTTATGAAGTCTTCATAACTGTGATTTTTAAATTAATGGCATTTTGATTTCTTTGGGGATATTTGAAAGTGGCAGCATTTTGAGTTTTCTCATATTAGAGGTTTAATTGTAATTTAATTTGTGTGCGTGTATGTGTTTAAAAGGCATTTTATGCTAGATCTCAGCTATTAAAAAAAACAACTGTCTTTTCTCGTGTTTCTGTTAACAGGGATCTACCGCACAGAAAAGGATAAAGGCACTTTGTATGAGCTCACATTCAAAGGGGACCACAAGCACGAATTCAGACGCCTTGTCCTGTTTCGACCGTTTGGCCCTATCATGAAAGTAAAAAAAGAAAAACTCAACATGGCCAACACGCTCATCAACATTATCGTGCCGCTGGCAAGGAGGGTGGACAAGTTCCGACAGTTCATGCAGAATTTCAGGTTTGTGTGTGTGCACCTGTTTGTCTTCCCCCATGTGGTGCGTGTTAAGTGCTGATATCGTTTCCCTTCATCTCCCTCATTTCCCCGCCGAGGACAAAGGTGCCTTTCTCTTCTTGTTCAACTCTGTTTTCTTCACATCACCTTTATCATTTGTGTTTGCCTTTCCCTAAAGCAATTAGAGAACTGCCAGATAAGCAGCTGTACCTTCGGAAGGGAACCTGGGAAGGACTGGGTTTTCCTCGGGATCTACAGAGAAGGCCTCTGCCTGTAGCGTTCAGCTGTAACTTGAGTTTGGGCTCAGGTCTGGGGCCAACAGGGGCCATGCTATCGCACCAGTAGAGTGGGCCCTCTCCCAGGCTCTCAGAGGCCGGCGCCGCGGCCGTGGACTTGTGCTGGAAGCTGGCTTCATTTGCTGCCCTGCTCTAGCAGTGGCTGGAGTGGATTGAATCAGAATCTATTTTTTATTCTAATCTATGTCTCCCGAGATTAAGTTTAGAATTGTGCCAAGAAATTTCCACGCACTCACTTCTGTAGCTACTCAAGGAGACTAAGGGGGTTTTATTTTCAGATACAGGAATGCTGTTTTACTTATGTGTCTTTAAAGCCTTGTGCAGTGTTGGAGCTTATAAGCTGTTATGGCTACATTCACTCATTGGTCGAGGTTAATCAGCTAACTTACTTAGCCAACTTGTTTTAAAGATAGCAAGTCACACACACACACACACACACACACACACACACACACGATAGCAAGTCATAGGTGTCTAATTATAAATCCTGGAAGATCAGACTTATTTTTATAATCTTTTATCATTAAATTCACATTATTCAAAGCCAGTAATGCTTCATATAAAGGTATGGTTGATACTTCTCAAAATTCTGGATAGTGAATGTACTGTTTTTTTAAATTTTTACATTTGAAGAGGAACCCTTTTCTAATTAAATTTTAAGGTCAGAATTCAGTAGTCTTAGAAGAGACTTTTGAGGGTCTTTTGGTCTAATCCTCCCTTAGTTCAGAATCCTTGAGAGCACTCCTGACATACGCTTTTTCTATGCAATGTGCGTGTATGCCAGGTAACTACCTACTTAAAGGTAGGCTGTCTTTATGTTGACCAGCTGTAGATAGAAAGCTCACTTTTATCAGGACCTTAAGTCCACCTTCCTGTAATTTCTACACAGTGGGTCTGAAGAAAGGACTGAACAAATTCATTTTCTATTAAACGTCATAGCCTTTCAGATATTTGCAGAAAGCCATGATAACTCCCTTTGTCTTTTCTGTGGTATCATTCGGAGTAGGGTGCACCAATCTTTCTGTCCATCTCCAGTTTGTAGAGTACCCCTGTGGGCACCATCATTTGACTGTTGACCACATTCTTCTGGCTTTAGTACTGAAGTGACTATGGTGTTGGCTTTGTCTCCCTTTGGTGTTTCTAAGTTCTCTTAGAAGGACTGAACCTGTGGCTGGCACTAGGCATTAAGCCAAATCATTACTCCCAGAAGCAGGTGTGCCCATGTCTAGGACTAGCTCATAGTAAATTCCTTTAGCCAGGAAGCTGCCTAGCACTTGCCAGATTAAGGGCCCTGAGATTTGCTTCACTGCACATAGGCTAGTCTCTGAGTGTGCTGGGCTTGGTAAGGTAGTGCTTGTGCTAAAGGAATGTCTGCTCAGTGAAGGGTCAAGTCCTCAGCCTAGGATCCCAAGGGCCTGGAAGCCTTGAATAGTAAGATATGTATGACTACCATATATAGCACAATATATGTAAGATATATATTGCCTTAGTGTCATGAGTATTACAAGGAATTAACCTAGAAGGGAAATATTGTTGGAAAAAAGTAAATAAATTAGCTCATAAGACACCACAATTGAGAGGGTAAAATAAAATGTAGTTCTAGTCAATGTTTTAAAAACAGACAAAAATGCTAGGGTCTTTTTCTTTGACTATCACTCTTAAGATGCCTATTGTTGCCTGTAGGCGGAAGGGGGGCGGGCTGTTACGTGGGGGTGGGGTGCATATTTAGGCAGCCTGTGTGTGTGCCCGACACTCCGCCAAACGCAGGGCTGAGAAGAGGAGATGGAGATGTAGTGCCCGCCTTCGTGGAGAGGAGATCTACTCATAGGAAGTTAGAAGCTACAGCAGAAATAGACACAAGGGACAGTGGGACCCAGAAAGGCAGCCTAGGACAGAGGACACTTGAGCAGAAGCCTGAGTAGGGAGTTAGCTCTGTAGCCCAGGTTCTGAGTGTACTGAGGTCTCTGAAGAAATGAGGTGAGAGATGGCACTCAAACCTGAGGCTGTTTAATTCTGTGAGAACTCAGTAAAGGTGGTGTTTCAAGCCAGTCAGCAGAGGATGAACTGTCCAGTGCATGGCTATATCATGGTTAATTACATATGATTCTTCACACCAAAACTCAGAGTAAATTCCAGTCAATTAAATATTTAAATGCAGGTAATATGACCATAAAAAGTATTGGGAGAAAATGTAAGGGGCTGTTTATTAAGTATTTGATGTTGTCTGTATGAAGTCCCTTCCATCCCAAGACTGAAAATTATTAGCTGTGGTCGGCACTGACTCCTGTTGGATTCTCTCTGTCTTATAAATAGTTACCATATATTTTGTTTAAAAATTCAGTGACAGGTTTTGGGTTGTTCTTTGCTTTTGTAATTTAAACATGACTTTTTAGTTTGTAAAAGTGATACATGGCTATTATAAGACCTTGAAACAATATAGGACACAACAAGGATTAAATTATTTACAAATTCACTCCTGACTCTGCCTCCCCAAATTCATCATTTTTAATATTAATTGAATATTGTTCTAGGTGCCTTTCTTTGTATATTTGCAGATGAAAAAATAACTTGCTGCTCTAGCTGGTTTGGCTCAGTGGATAGAGCATCAGCCTGTGGACTGAAGGGTCCTGGGTTTAATTCCGATCAAGGGCACATACCTTGGTTGTAGGCTCTTCGCCAGCCCAGGCCTGGTCGGAAGTTGTGCAGGAGACAACCAACCAATGTGTCTCTCTCTCATCGATATTTCTCTCTGTCTTTCCCTCTCTCTTCCACTCTCTCTAAAAATCAATGGGAAAATATCCTTGGGTGAAGGTTTAAAAAAAAGAAAAAAAGAATAACTTGCTAGCTGGGAATAATTTAATACAACATGAGATATACTGTATGTTCTATTTTTAATTAAATAATTAAATTTTACCTTACTTAAATTTATGGAAGAGAATCTGAAGTACCATAGAAGAAATTGCTGATCTTTAAGAAAGGGTTTCTCAACTATAAGAGATCCCTCTAAAGTTGCAAAAGTGATTTTTCAAAACAAAGAAGATTGGAATTATTATGTAATTTTTACTACATAATACTTTTAATTTTAGACTGGATTGGTTGCAGTTCCAACAAGAAGAGAAAATCAGCACAGTGATGCTTCCTTCCTCTCCTGTGTCCCATTTTCCAATTTTTTCAGCTTTGTATTACTTTTACCTTCTCAGGGTTTGCAGCATTTACATTCCGTTTTATAACTACAATTCCAGTATTTACATGGATTCAGTGTTTTCATTAGCAGTTCTCCAACAATAGCTTCTTCAATTCTGAGGCCTTGGTTGACTGTATTTCATGGTCAAGAGATTCTTTCAAGAAGGATCATACGTTCTTCGGACTAGAATGTCTGCTTATTATCTTGATGCTTTAAGTGTCACCTGGCCGAACTTAAAATTCTTGGGGGACACTTTCTTTCCTCAGGACTTTGTAGATATTCTTTTGGCATCTAATGGTACCATGAAGAAGTGTTAGGACAATTTTAGTCTCTTCTGAAAATGACTTACTTTTGCCTGAATGTCCAAAGAATTCCTTCTTTAGTCTTGAATCATAATAGTTTAGTTAGGATATGTCTCTGGTCAATGTCTATTGTGTTCTCTCAGATTTCTGTATAATTCAGTTTCCTATTTTGTTGTGTAAATTCTTCTGTTTCAGGGAACTTTTTTTGCTGCTCTAATTTTGAGTACTTGTCCCGCTTCATTTGTTTGGATTCTCTGTTTTGCAGACACAATTGTATATTCTCGGGTGTTCTCAGTTTTTTTACTTGTTTCTCATTTTTTAATGCCTTTGTATTTTATCTGTTTTCACATAAGCCTTTTCTTTATGAGGAATTTGATTTTCAGATATGTCTATTCTGTACCTTGGTATTTTTAATTGTTCTGTTCAGTTTTTTGTCCATTTATCAATGTGTTTTCTGAGCATAGAATATGCCTAGGAACTGTTGTTTTTGTCATATCCTCTTTGAACTTTAAAAAATGGAATTCACATTTTTATTAAGAAAGTGTGAAACATTCATAAGACATTTTCTTCTGTTTGAGTTATCTCTTCTTTTAGATTTGGTTTTTCATTGGCTTTTTGAATGCTATTTCACCCTTAATTCTCTTTCTCTTTCTTCCTTTAATTTTGTTGTTATTCTTGAAATGTGGTAGGTGTGATGTTTGTTTTCATCCCTCTTCTGCATGGCACACTCCGGGCCATCCAGCCTCTTTGCTCTGATGTCAGAGTGGATTCTTCTTGGCTACTTTCACGTCTTGACTGAGAACTGTTTGTGTCCCGCTCCCAGTGATATTCTGCGGACAGGGCATTTATTGTTCTATTTGCTTCATTTGTAGTCTGAAAGAACATGTAGCAGAGAGAAAGAACTCAGCTGGGGTTTTGTGCAGCCTTTGTTGGAGGATCCCACTTCCTGTGGCTCTTCTGAGTCCTGGGATGGATCTGGGAGTTGCACCAGGCTCACTCGACCCAACTGTGAATGGATCTTTTCCCTGAGGGGTAGATTATTTGTCTCTCAGAATGGGCCCTTGGTCAAGGATTGAGGCCTAGAACATCAGAGAGAATCAGCCCCATTTGTTTACTGCTCTTAACTCATTTATGTGTTGTCTTCAGCAGCTCTTTCCACAACTCCCATAAGTCCAAAAGAAGAGAAAAGATAAAGCTTTGTTCCTATATTTAAAGGTGTGTGTATGTCAGGGGAAGACATGTATAAGATATGTCATCTGCCTATCGGCATCTCTTATCTCTTCTCCTTTTTCCGTTCTTATGGTGGATCTTGACAATGTGATGGTCTTTCGTCCTTTGGTTCTGCCAAGTACACCCTTTTTGGAAGGGTTACTTCACAAAGAACAATTAGGTTAGTTCCATCTTTCTTCTCTACTTTCCACCTGATGTGGAGAGACCAAATATTCCACTGTGGCTCTACTCGTGCTGAGATCCTGAAGTGAAACTTGGAGATCCTGCCTCTCCCCAGCGCAGCCATCCCTCTGGGCTGCCTTCCCCCGACCCCGGCTGCTTCTCCAGCTCCTCTTTCTGAGGCAGTTGCTGGAGCTGGAAGCCACATGAAGCTAAAATCAAATTGTCTGTTTCTTCCCTTGGCCTCCTGTTTGTGATGTTTAAGACATAGGTGTGTGTCCCTTTCATTGGTCATTTAGTGGTAGCAAGACCTTAGCCATTTTCCACATTTTGGTAAATGGCTTGCAGTTGTCATTGTTTGAAGTTAATTTACTTAAAGCATTATCTATTTAAAGCATTATCTTTTAAAAGGTAAACGCCCTGTAGACTACTCAACTGTTACTGCGTCATTCCATCCTGCCTTGTACTGTAGCTCTTCAGCAGTCCGTTTCTTCCAATGCACTGTGAAAAGGCAGGTGGGGTGACCAGTTGTCCCAGTCACTTGGGGCTGAGGAGTTTTCCTGCGATGTGGACTTTCAGCGCTAAAACATGGAGAATCCCAGGGAAACTGGATAGTTGGTTCCCCAACAGGGCCATACATGATTGTTCTTCTTACTGTGACACAATGAGAATAATGCATTGCACAACCAAATTGGCTCGTGGGATCCAGGCAGGCTGTGTCCAGGTACAAATTATTACAGCAAAACACAGACAGCTTCATGTACAGTCATCCACACACACACTCTTTCTCATTCACATCGTGGGGATGGAGTCTAATGAGAATTCTTTGAAAAATACAAATGTTACAAGACCATTCAGACAGACAGTGATGTTTCCATAGCACTCTGCTCCTTCTCTCATCAAGCATTTGTTGCATTACAGACAATTTCAGTCATGAACAAGAGGAGCACTTCTCAAGGGCAGGAATGTCTGGCTCATTTTTAAGCTCCCCTGGTAGAGTATCTGGCACACAGCCTGTTGTTTGTTTGGTTATTGTTTGTTGAATGGAGGAAGGAATAAATGAATAAATGGCAGGGAACCCCAGAGTGGACCTCTGAACAAATTCTGCTTTGCCTTCTCGGGAAGCCTCAGCTGGTGAATGGACAGTAAAGGTCCAAAGTGTCTGTTCTATTCCTTGAAAACAGGAAGTGTTTTGAATGGATTTTAAAATGCCAGTAACATGTCCCTAGGGGGGAAAACACACACATGAGATGCTTCTTTATTCAGGCTCAGCGCCTGACCCTCTATGATTCTGGGATGGACTTCTTCCAACTGCAGACACTTTAAAGAACAGACTTTTGGGTGCTTGGCGCTGTGTGCGCGCTTTCATTCTACCTGGCGAGTGTGCAGGAGGGATCATTTACCTACAGAGAATTTTATTGTCGGGAGGTGATGATTCAGTCTGCAAGGGACTGGGGCTCCGAGGGAGCTCTGCGTATTAAAGCTGCCACATCCGGGGCCTCTGTGTTTGGTCCCGTGTCTGCTTCTAGGAGCTCTGCCATCAGTCTGGGTTTCAGAGGCAACTCTTACCTTTCTTCCACAGGAAATGAACAGAATTCTCAGAACCACGCCTGTGAGCAGGCAGAACCCTGTGTGCCTCTTGCCCAGGGTCAATATACTAGTCACCGTGCCTTAGATTTCTCCCACCTGGAATTCTCTTCTTCCTCTCTACCTTTTTAAGCCCCGTCCATATTTCAAGGCCCCAGCCCAACAGAATTTCCCGTGCTTTCTGAATTTGCTACATTTTTTTATCAATGCCATGAGGTGTCCTTATTTTATTTGAGCTTATTTTATTTCTTATGTAAGTTTTTTGAGGTGAGGAACTGTATCTTCTATTTCTTTGGATTTCTCCCAGCCACCCGAGCTAGACAATCACTCCTTTTTGAAGTCATTATAAAATGCATCGAATAAATTGGCCTCTGCAATTAGAGCACACAGATTTCCAGAACGCTATGATATGGATTGTTGTTTGGGGGTTAAGGAAAGTAGCTAACACAGAGACAAAAGGAATAAAATGGAAGGACATGCAAAATACCAAGATATCACAAAAGGTCGTCTTGCCAGTAGATTCTGTCTATTAACATGCTTCCAGAAAACACCTGTAAAATTATGCACACACACACATGTCTGTATACACAGACATGTATACCTAAACACATATTTACACATATACTTTGACCTACACACATCTGCACATACATGCACACACACTAAACATATAGATGAAGTGAGTGCTCAGCAGAGGATTATACTATGGTAGCTACACAGAAACTAGGTGTTACCATTGAGAGAGCAGGACATGGGCAGCAGGTGTAGACAAGTCCAGAGCCGGAGGCCCGGCACTGAGAGGGCTGCCGGGACCCTGGAGTATGAGGTGCCTGGTGCCTGGGACAGAGTCACAGAGAGGAGAAAAGGGGATGTAGTGAAGGTAAGTGTATCTGCTTGGGAAGGGTGACAGACTGCAGCTGTGCTTATGCCTTATCGTCCCCTTGGACAGTCACGCCACTGGGTGTTCCCAAGAGTTTCTAGAGTCCCAAATGGAAAAATGTTTTTACCTTTACACGTTCAGTCTTTAAGACTGTTTGGCACACTAGAGCAAAGTCAGAGACAAGGATTCTGGTTTTAACCTCTCTGGGCTTTAGCTTGCTCACCTGTACAATGGAATTTGCGTGTTCTTTAATTCATAGACTTCTGATGGCAAAGAAGGGTTGGATCAGTGCCCTTCCCATGGCACTGGGTGTCCCAATGGTCTAGGCCTATGGTAGATTGGACCCGTAGCCTTTAAGTTTCCATTGACCAGAACTGTACATTTAAATTTCATTGTTTCTTGGTAAAAATCAATACAAATACAGGTCATTGTGATGGTCAAGCTTATTTTAAGACCCTTTTGCACTTTACAAAATAGGTCATTTGCTTGGGCCTTTCCTGTTACTGTGGAAACAGGTCCAGACATACACATGTTTTATTTTCTAGGGAGACATGCATCCAACAGGATGGGAGAATACATCTCACCGTTGTTTACTTTGGGAAAGAAGAAATGAATGAGGTCAAGGGAATACTTGAAAACACTTCTAGGTAAGTACGACGTGGAGCCATAATCAGGAATTATGGTCACTGAGCTCATACACATCCAAGGCTGAAACTTCGATTTTTGTCTTATCATCCTCATTAACTGCGAGGTTGGTTGGTTGCTGGCCGTGTGCAGGGGGAATTCTGCCTGACACTGGTGCTCATTGTGCAGGGTGTCGTTGATTTTGACTTTGAGATAAACTGCTGTGAACAGCCAGGGTGGGGAGCATGGGCTTCTTTGGGCTTCCGCATGATTGGATGTCTTCACGTTCAGCACTGCAAGTTTGAGGTCTTTATGTCACAGAGTGGGAATTGGGGAGGGCACGGCCGTGCAGTCAGCGCCATCTCAGCCACAGCTTGTAAGTCTAAGAGTGTTATCCATGCTTGGATGGCATTCACTTGGCCAATGGTCTCACCCTCCTGATTTTCATTCATTATAGATATTGAGAGAGTAGAGGGAAGCAGGAAGTGATGACTGGGCAAGATCCTTAATTAAATCTATTCGGTTGAACAGAAATTATTTAACTAAAAACTTTAGACTTAGGATTTATATTTATACCCCATTGATCAGTTGTTAGGAAAATAAATATGTTTAATGACAGCAGAGATGGATTTTTTCCCCTACAAATATTTAGTGAATAAATAAGCATCTATGGCATTTTCTACTAGTGAGGAAGCTGGAATGGCACCGCCATGCTCCCTTGTGGTTTGTTTTGGGTGTTTGCAGGGTTTCAGTTGAGTAATCGGAGGGCGTGGGAGGGTAGTTTCTCCATAAGTGAAGCTTAGAGGGTGGTAGTGGCAGAAATAGTCTGAATAGGTCCAAATTGTTAGAAATGCTCTTAAACGGTGTCATGGGAATGAGACAAACACTCGAAAATGGCTTGGTGCTTAGCCAATCAAAAAGTTGATGGGCCCTAACTGGTTTGGCTCAGTGGATAGAGTGTCAGCCTGCAGACTGAAGGGTCCCAGGTTCGATTCCGGTCAAGGGCATGTACCTTGGTTGCGGGCACATCCCCAGTGGGGGATGTGCAGAAGGCAGCTGATCGATGTTTCTCTCTCATCGATGTTTCTAACTCTTTATCCCTCCCTCTTCCTCTCTGTAAAAAAATCAATAAAATATATTAAAAAAAAAAAAAAAGTTGATGGGCAGACACACCGATCAGGAAGTCCATTCTCCTTTTATCCCTGACTCTTTGCTGCACCGTGCTCTGATTGGCTTAAGAACGTGGCTTCAGGTTCTGGCTCGAATGACTAATTCAAATGGGGTGGTGCAAAGGGGGTGGGGTAGTTCTAGGACCTAGAACAGCGGTTCTCATCCTGTGGGTCGTGACCCCTTTGGGGGTCAAACAACCTTTTCACAGGGGTTGCCTAAGACCATTGGAAAACACATATATAATTACATATTGTTTTTGTGATTAATCACTATGCTTTAATTATGTTCAATTTGTAACAATGAAAATACATCCTGCATATCAGATATTTACATTACGATTCATAACAGTAGCAACATTACAGTGATGAAGTAGCAACGAAAATAATTTTATGGTTGGGGGTCACCACAATGTGAGGAACTGTATTAAAGGGTCGTGGCATTAGGAAGGTTGAGAACCACTGTTCTAGGTTAAGCTACAAAATGGAGTTTTATACAAAAAGGAAATGGAGTCAGTATCTAAACTATACCTTTGACAGAAAAGACTTTTTGATTCTCAAAGTATGGCCTAAATATAAAAAGAGCCTCTGTTTTGAATTTCTGGTAAATGGTAATCGGATGACAGTCAAAGGATAAGATTCCAAGATTGGGTGCACTCTGTATTTATTTTCATGCTTTGTTACTAATTTTGTATTAATGGGCACAAGAACAGAATGCTAATTATACTTATTCAACCATCCTGAGGCAGTCCCCTAGCCAAATGTTGCCCACCACTTCTTTCTGTAAGTTTTGTTGGAATGCAGGCATGCTCATTTGTTTACATACTATTTATGGTTGCTTTTGTGGTACAGCTGCAGAATTGAATAGTTGTGACAGAGAATGTATGACTCGCCAAGCGTAAACTCTCTCCTCTCTTGTCCTCTCCAGAAAAAGTTTGCTGAATTCTGTTTTAAATCAATTGCGAGTTAAGAGTTTAAAACCAGTAATAGCTTAAATCTACAGCCTCTGTTGAAGGGAGATCAAAGAGAATAAAATAGTTGAATATCCTAAATGTGAAATAGAAATATCTCTACTGCAATGGGCTGCAATATCCTTTTCACCTCTGCTTAGGAATGGGGAGTATGAATTATTAGAATTCGTGTCCTCTGCACTGTGGATAGGTTTTAATGTCTCTGGAATTATCCATCCCTGGGAGTTGATCTTTTTAAAGTTTCCCAGATGATTCTAACACACAGCCAGGATTGAGAGCTTTTGTCTGAGAAAGTGGCGGTCCACGCCAGGGGCTGTCCAGGAGAGGCCTTGATGGCAGCCTGCTGCCCATTCCGAGGTGTTTGTAAATAGCTCTCCAGGTGACCCTCAGTCCTGTTAGGTCTGGCACCTTCCCAGGACATCAAAGGATGACCAGATATTTGCTGATAGATACATATAACCAAATTTATCCAAAGTCTGATGGATGATATATATGAAAACTTATATGAGAATCTTTTAAAATCATTTTTATCATTCTTTGAAGATGGTATGACTCTTATTCACATGCATCTTATCTTTGAATAATAATCATTATTATTATTTACGTGGATGATTTCTACTGTTCTCAGCAATGTCATGAGATAGATGCTATCAGCCCCATTTCAAAAACTGAGGCTTAGCGAGGTTGTTTAGACATTGTTATGGGAAATACCTTTTCAAATGACTAGAATGCTTACGGACGCTTATTATGAAAGGCATTTTCACCATATCAAATTACCTGACAAGCTGAATTCTCAATCAGCAGGTTGCTTGGTGAGCAAAGAATGAAGAGAATCTGATCAAGAAAAGTAACATCATTTAAGTGGTAGGGATCCTTTACTTAAAATGTTGAAAAATTTCTAGGGGTTAATCTACCCATAGCAGAGAACTTCGTGCTAGAGACTGAATTGACCAGTGCTTTAAAGAAAGAGGTGCTACAGAAATCTTGGCAACATTTATTGGAACCCCATTTTTCTCTGTGGATGTCCTCATTCCTTTAACTGGTGATATCTGTGGTATTGATGTCACTGATGCCTTGGGGCCTGTCCTACGCCCTCCATTGTGTTGCTTCGATCAGACCATCTCTTCTAGGGATGCCCCACTCTCTGCAGCCAGCCTGAGTCCATAGTAATCCAGTTGAAAACTTAAATAAGAAGCTTTTAAAGTCATCTTTATCATTCTTTTAAGAAGGTATAACTCTTGTTCACATGCATCTTACCTTTGAATAATAATAATTATAATTATTTACATGGAGGATCTTATTTAATATTCACAGCAACTTTACAAGATACTAGTAGATGCTGTTAGCTGCATTTTAAAAACTGAGGCTTAGTGAGATTGTTACTCAGGCTGCCACCTGACACCTGGGAGAGCCAGGATCTGAAGCTTGTCTGTGAACTTCCAGGACTCACGCCTTAAAATCTTCACTCCAGTGTACTCCATCCTAAAATCCATAATTGTTAGTTGAAAGTAATGAGATATTAAATCAGTCTAAATGAAATTTATTTCATTTGGGTATCAGTATTGTGATTAAACTGCTCTAAATGCAGCTAAGTGTATAGTTAAGAATATCTTTTAAAAATCTACTTTGATGACTGTGCAATGTTTTACTCACTCAGTTTATGCTCACTCAGTTGAGCTTTACTTTTCAGTTGATTGCTATAAATCAGTGCTTTGCAAACTGAAGTTTGTGATTCATTAGAAAGTTGTGAAATACATTTATGCTCAGTATTACAAAATAATTGAAATAGAGTGGATAGAAGCTATAAGTAGTAAGGATAAATATTATTTCATTAAATTTTAATTTCTCTGCGTGTGTGTGATAATATATAATACTAGAAGCCCATTGCATGAAGATTCACGCAATAGGCCTTCCTTCCCCTGGCTGCCGGCACTGGTTTTCCTCTGGCATCCGGGACCCATGCCTTTGGTCCGGCTGCAGCGGAGAAGCCAAGCCTCAAGGTTTGGCTTCTCCACTGTGGCCGCAGTGAGGCTTGGCTTCTCCTCCAAGCCTCTTCAGTCTTCAGTCTTCACTCCGTGCCTGCATATGCAAATTAACTGCCATCTTTGTTGGCTTAATTTGCATAGTCGCTCTGATTGGCTGATGGGCGTAGTGGAGTGACATCAATTTGCATGTTTCTTTTTATTAGTGTAGATACTCTTTTATAAGCTCTTTGGTAAAAATATTTACCAAAGAAAGCAGTATAAATCAGTTCTCAATATCTGATTCTTATTCCACAGAGTTTTCCATATTAAGCTTTTGTTAATCACAGGTTACAGCCTCTCACTCAGTGGTTCTCAAATATAAGTGTGCTTGGTATAATCTGGGATGCTTTTAAAAATGCACATTCCTGGGACCCAACCCCAGGAATTCTGAGTCAATAGGCCTGAGATTAAGCTTGAGAATCAACATTTAGAATGAGTTCCATATGTTGATGCAGGTGGTCCATGGCTCCTACTTTGAGAAATGCTGGCTGAGCTAGACATGTGCTTGGAGCTACACACAGTAAGTCCTCAATGTCATCAAGAGGATCTGTGACTTTAAGTGAAACAATGTATAAGAAAACTAATTGTACCATAGGCTAATTGATATAAATAAGAGTTAAGTTCCTATGACATATCATCAATCTATAATAATAAAAGCATAATATGCTAATTAGACCGGACGTCCTTCCAGATGTCATTCTGTGGAAGCCAGGGCTGTGAGGGAAGCCTGGGTCTTGGGTGCCTGCCGGAGGCCTGAGGGAAGCCAGTACTGGCAGCTGGGGGAAGGAAGGCCTACTCTTGCATGAATTTCGTGCTTCGGGCCTCTAGTATTATAATAAAACAATGTTGGCCAAAACAATGT